GATTGGAGATCTTGTTGAGAGCGTGGTGGGGATGGACCACCCGGAAATACCTGTCCACGGCCACCACCGTGAGGAAGATGATGCTGCCCTGGCGGTTCATGGCCAGCATGAAGAGCATCAGCCGGCAGGGGATGTCCCCGAACTTCCAGTCCCACTTCCTCACGTAATTGTCCGTCAGGAAAGGGAGGCAGATGATGAGGAGAAAGTCGGCCAAGGCCAGGTTGAAGAGGAATACCTGGCTGGGCTTCCAGGGCTTGAGGTGGAAGCAAAAGATCCACAGAGCCAGGCCATTGCCCAGCAGCCCGAACACGAACTCCAGTGCCAGCACCGGCGGCAGCACGGTGGCAATGAATTCATCCCGGAAGACACAGCAGTTCTTGTGGTCCACCTGCAGGGACTCGCCGCTCCTCCACAGAGCGCCCCGGTCCATGCGGAAACCTGGCTCGCCCCACTGCCCGGCAGGGAGCCTCGCCTCAACCACCCTCAAGGAAAGGGGTGCGGATCTGTGTGTCTAACGTGGCTCAGCACCCGCTTTTATTTCATGTCAGGGTGTTGAAATAGAGGAATGAGTGGTTACCAGGAAGCTACGAAACAGCTTTAAAAAAAACCCAGCCAGACTCTTATGCAACCTACGACTTCCATAAAAATAATTCCCTTGCTGACAGGAACCCACAAGACTTTCTGAAAGGGTAAGTTGAGGCAGGCCAGTTGTCAGGCACCGATGAGGAATATGCGGAGGCTGTAAGTCAAGAGCTAATCCTCAGCCTTCAGGAAGAAATCACCGCCCTCCTCTTGGAGGATCTGCTTAGTGGAGCCGCCCAACAAAAAATTATTTCTTGAGCCCTGGTGGCAATGTGGAGGCGGCGTAGGGCTACAAACCAGAAAGTCGAGGGTTCAAACCCACCGGCTGCCCCGAGGAGAAAGATGAAGCTATCTATTCCCATAAAGATCAATTACTCAATGGCAGTGGGTTGGCTTTGGCTTGGAGCTAAATGATGTGATTTATCAAGCCTAATTTAAGAAACTTTAGCGTGTTTTTTTTTTTTTCTTGTTTGAAAGGCTGAAACAACAACTGACTTGAAGAGCAGATGCCAAGGGCTTGGGTGGAGAGCAAATGTTTTGAGAATGATGAGGGCAATGAATGTACAGATGTCCTTTACACAATGGATGGATGTATGGATTGTGATCAAAGTTGTACGAGCCCCCAATAAAGTGATTTAAAAAATCATTTTACTGGGGGCTCTTACAGCTCTTATAACATTTCCTACATCAATTGTATCAAGCAGAGTCGTACATATGTCGCCATCAACATTTCCAAAGCATTTTCTTTCTACTTGAACCCTTGGTATCAGCTCCTCTTTTTTCCACCCTTTCGCCCCCCACCTTCGTGAATCCTTGATCAATTATATATTGTTATTATTGTTTTGTATCTTAAACTATCCGCTGTCTCCCTTCACCCACTTTTCTGTGATTCATCCTGGGGGGGGCTATATATCCAACCCTGTAATGGATTCCCCTTTCTCCCCCTTCCCCCTCCCCAACCATCCTCCTAGCCTCATGATATCGCTACTCACTACAATCCCCAAGGTTTTTTCCCCTGTCCTGAATTCCTTGTGTCGAGAGCCCTTATCTGTACCAAGGTGTATTGAGGTAGTTTATTGTGCCAACCTGACCGATAAACACATGTGGGGTTAATTGAAGGGCGGAGGGATAAACGGCTCAGTGAGCCTCGCCTTTCTAGTTCTTGGGTCTTTTGATTTCTGATGGTTGGAGCAGGGTGAAGCTGCATAAGCCAGTTCCCTGCTTCAGCAGGCAAGGCTCATTTCCTGCAAGACATCCCCAAGGAGAAGCCACATGGACCTATCCCAATGCAGCCCTGGGTGCTGGAGCAGCCATGTGGAGACCCCTGCCAGCGCTGAGATGCTTACACATTCACTGACTCGGCTTTCCTCCTGCAGTCAGCATCATTGCATGTGTTTTGTGAGATGGAGGCGGACTTTGTGGGTTGGTGTCAGACATATGGGTTAATGTTGGACTTGTGGGCTTGGACAGCACTGGGTTGGGATGTTTTCTTGATGTGCACTTAACCTTTATATAAAACTCTCTCTTATACATGAGTTTCTGTGGATTTGTTTCTCTAAAGTACCCAGACTAACACATGTATTCTCTGGTCTGGCCAGATGTGTAAGGTAGAACTGGGTCATGGTAGTGGGAGGGGAGGGGAGAGGAAGCATTCAGGAATTACAGGAATGAAGCATGTTTCATTGGTGCTATACTGCACCTTAGTTGAATCATCCCTTACTTATAACCCTTCTGTGTGTGTGGTGGTGGTGGTGGGGGCATCCAATTGTCTACTGATGGGCTTTGGGTCACCCCCTCTAACCCCCCTCATTTACATCGAGAGCAACTGACTATTTTTTGAGGCCAGACAGTGAAAAACAATTGTTAACAGTTTTATTGACACATACTCCCCCTATCACACAATTCTAGAAGAGTCCTGCAATCATGACCCCAGCTGATTTGAGAACATCTTCATCGTTCTTAAGCTGATTGCTTTAGCTCCCCACAGGCATGGTAACTTTGCACGTTGGTCCTGTGACGTCCTCTCTGGATAAGGATGGGCGACTTAGCCACACTAGAGACTCTGCAGTTAAAAACCAAACAGAGAGAGAGAGAGAGAGAGAGAAGCCTACCTGAGAACCTGTCATTCCCTAAGATGTTTGCAAAGCCCAGCCCAGCATGGATTGCCAGCGGCGGGGAAGTGTGCGAACTCAATTAAGTTGGGTTTCCTGTTTGTTTGGTTTAGATTTGGCCAGGCTCCTGTGCTCGAGTTCAGTGATTGATCTTACAGTCAGTGATATTTTAAAAGTCCCTCTTTTAGCGCAATGACACGTTGCGTGGCAGGACCCAAAAGAACGTTGTCCTCCGTGTCCCAGCAGGATACCACTTGCTTTACTGGGTGTCATAACCCGGCAGAACACAGCTACCCTTTAATGCTGTGGTTTTATGAACTCTTGCTGTGGTCCGAGCCTGTAAGCTGGATTGCTTCTGCTCTGGGTCTGAAGGAAAAAAGTGTATTCTTTTAGTGGCTTGTCCAGGTTCAAGCCTACAGTCAATTTCAATTCCCAAGGACCACCCCCACCCCCCCGTTTAGGGGTTCTGAGACTGTACATCTCTACAGGAGTGGACAGCCTCATCTTTCTCCCACGAAGCAGCAAGTGGGTTTGAACCGCCCACCCTGCAGTTCCAAAGCTGACCCCGCAGCACCCCAGGGCTGCAGGATTAGGGATAGTGGCTTTAGACCCTTCACAATAAGCTAGAGTGCGGGTTGTCAATGACTGGACTGCTCCCGTGGGAACCTAAGTTATTCCGCGATGGTCACGTTTAGCACAACGGGTTTGCTATGGACTGCTGACTGGTGCTGCTCCACGTCCTTACGATGACTGCTGTTAGGTACCATCGAATCGACCCCCCCAACCCACCCGCCGTGGTGGCCCCAATGTGACAGACTGAAACAGCTTCATAGAATTTTCTAGGCAGTACCCTTTATGGGCATATACGGAGTTCAAGTGGACCACTTTTGACCATTGAGATGCCACCAGGCCTCCACCCTGTGAGATGGCCACGATTCTAAACCACACAGAGCTCAGTTCCCCTCTGAAACCCACGCAACCGCTCTGTGCGGGTGTCTATTTCAAGTGGGCACCAAAGGTATTCGATCGAGATCGAGTGTTTCTGATGTGCTAGGTCACCCCGGCCTCCGTGCTTTTTCTACCTTCTTCCATCCAGGCCAGCGGATGATACAAAGCGTGGTCAAGGGGGTGGAGAAGCTGGAACCTTTGCCATTGCTGGTGCGGATGCAAAATGACGGAGCAATAGAGTCACCCGTTGCTGTTGTTAGATGCCATCAAGTCCGTCCCAACTCAGAGGCCTACGTGCAACAGAAAGGAACACTGCCCGGTCCTGCCTCGTCCTCAAAATTGTTATGTTTGAACCCATTGTTGTAGCCACTGTGTCAGCCTGTCCTGCTGGGGGGGACTCTCCACCTTACCAAGCATGATGTCCTTCTCCAGAAACTAGTGTGGTCTTCTCTTTTTAAAAATAAATCATTTTATGGGGGGCGCTTGCAGCTCTTGTAACAAGCCATACATCCGTTGTATCAGGCACCTTTGTACATACGTTGCCATCATCGTTTCCCAAACATTTTCTTTCTACTTGAGCCCTTGGCATCCGCTACAGGGTTTTCTGTTAACACGTCCAGACTACAAGAAACAGTCTCGCCAGCCTCGCTTCCAAGAAGCGCTCTGGTTGTACTTCCTCCAAGACATGTATTCGTTCTTCTGGAAGTCCTGGGGGCTTTGCCAACGCCGCATTTCAAACGCATCTATTCTTCGGTTTTCCTTATGCGTTGTCCGATTGTCACATGCATGGGAGCTGACTGAGATACCCTGGCTCGGGCCAGCAAACACTTTAAAGAGGGCTTGTGCTGCAGCTCTTCCCCAGGCAATGCACTGGCCAGATGGTCCAGCCAATCGGCTTCTAGGTCTAGACCCACGAGAAGTGAAAACGGATGCCCACACACACCAGTGTACAGAAATGTTCAGAGTAACCAAAAGGTGGAGACAATCCAAATGTGTGGCTGACTGTTTCCTGTTCGGAATGTTGCAAGTGAAGCGCCCACAGGTTGGTCAAGATCACCCAGCTAAGCCAAGCAGAGCTTAGATTTGAACTGACCACCAGCTTGAAAGCCTGGCCACTTGCTATGATGTTACAGTCCATTCTCTCTCTCTCTCTCTCTCTCTCTCTCTCTCTCTCTCTTTCTCTATCTCTCTCTCTTTATTTTGCTTTTTGTTGTGGTTTGGGTGTAAGTTTAGAAAGCAAATTTATTTCCCATTTGACGAGTTACACATGTTTTATTTCATGACATTGGTTAAAATCGCCTCCATAGAACCACGCGCTTTTCACTTCCTCTCTTTTCCTTCCTCCTGCCGTCTTGCCCCTTCCCCCCTCCTAGGCTTTGCTTTGGCATCCAATGCTGGCCTTTTGGTCTTGTGTGGTGGCTTGTACTGAGTAGTGCGTTCGCCCATGCCTCCCTGGTGCTGCTGTTCACATCATAGACCGGGTAAACCTTTCACCTATCACAAGTCTCTGGTGAGTAGGATCCAAGGCTGCCCTGGCCTGAGGGCTCTCTGGCCAGCACTGCCTAGTTGTATTAAGGCTCTAGTGAAGTGGCTGGTATGTTTTCCCTCTCCTTGCTGCCCACGAATGTCACGCTTGGAAAATACCACCTTTGGGAAAATGAGGCGTTGTCAGTGATGTGCATAAGGCCGTCCTAGGCATCTTTATTGTGAGGCAGTTGTGGCTCACTGGTAGACGTCTCTCCGTCTCTGGGGAAGACCCAGGAGCCCTGCTGTGTTGGGCTGCTAACTG